ACCAGAAAATGAAAAAGGCCAAAAGAAAGAGGATAAGTACAAAAAAAATATTTCTCAGCCTTTTATTTACATTTGAACTAAAAGTGGCATGTCCCAAAATTAATTCATACCCCTTTGCAAACTGTCAGCAGTTCTTAATGGGAAAAATCCAAAGTTTCTAGTACCATTCCAAATAGTCCCAAAGCTGTTCTAAAGCATCTAAATGACCCTGATTCATTGGGAACAGCTGTTTTTAATCTAACTCAACAGGTGAAAACACGCAAAGCTCTTTGCAGTTTGGTTTGTGGATCAGTCATGGCTAAAGACAAAGGAGCTCACTGGGACCTGCGGGCTGCACATTGTGGCTGCTCAAAAACCAAGTCAGGAAAGGGGGGGGGCCTAAAATAAGGCACATCTAAATGCTTTCAAGTTCCAGCGATACAGGCAAAAGTATTACTTAAAAAATACAAGACGTTCCGCACTGTGGGAAACCTTCAGAGGACGTGTCGAAGCCAAAGTGACACCTGTGCTGGCCAGGAGGATAGTGAGAGAGGTGAACAAAGAACCAAGGATCACCAACCAAGGATCCCTGGGAAATCTGGGCTCTACTGGTGGCAACGTCTCACAGGCCCAGACAGTCCAACGGACCACCGTGCACCACTGCTGGGTTCCTCCCGGACGCAGACCAAGGAAGACGCAGATAAGTGCACACAAAAGCCCGCTTTGCAGAATCCTCATCTTGGACCAAAGGAAGAAGAACTTCCTGGTCTTCTGTTTTATGGTCCAGATGAAACAATTTTATTGTTTGGCCACAATGATGGTATCCTTCATTTGGCAATAAAAAGGAGAAGCCTCAACCCTAAGAACACCAATCCCCACTGTCAAACATGGTGTGGGAACCTAATGCTTTGGGGTGTTTTTCAGCCATGGACTCAGGAACCTAAAAAACAGCTAAACGGCACCATGAATAAAAAGCAATACATCAAGAAAAAAAAAAAAAAAACTTGCTGCTTGAATAAAAGTAACTTGAAGTCCAAATTTGCCAGCGGTATGAATCATTTGGGGCTTGACTGTACATGTATATATAAGTGACACAGCAATTGGTGACAGTGTAGATTGTGCCACACAGTCCTGATATTAATGGTTGTTGTTGCTGTTGTTAATGGTGTTAATGGTAAATGGTAAATGGACCTGTACTTGTATAGCGCCTTTCTAGTTTTCCCGATCACACTCAAAGCGCTTTTACTTTCGTTGCACATTCACCCTTTCCACACACATTCACTCAGTGATGAAAAACAAACTAAAAACTCATTCATTACACATTCACACACCGATGCTTGCATGGGAGCATTTGGGGTTCAGTATCTTGCTCAAGGATACTTTCAACACGTGGCAGGAGGAGCCGGGATCGAACCAACAACCTTCCGATGGGGGACGACCCGCTCTGCTCTGAGCCACAGCCGCCCCTAATGGTGCTCTGTCAATCATGACTCTTCAGGTAACCTGGAAAATTGGATTAAAAAGTGGACAAACAGGCAGTGTCTGTGTGTGTGTGTTTATGTTTATGTGTATGTGAGTGTCTGTGTCTGTGTGCATACCGATGCCACTGAGTGCATGCTGCAGCTCCAGAGTGAAGGCAGTGAGTGGAACCTCTTCAGACACAGGCAGGATGGCCACAGTGGACAGGTTGGAGGCTGGATTCCCAGCGTCCCACTTACTGGTGGGGGTCTGGAGAGCCAGACTACGAGCTGCATGGCAGAAGAGTGTTTTTCTCATCGGATATTATAGACAGAAGAAAAAATGCTCTTTTTATGCCCTATCTTGTATATATGTTGATTTGTATCTTATCTCATACTGAAATGTAACACATTTTAGTAGTGTAGGGCTAGTGCATGGCATCACTCAGCCAGGTAACATTTCACAAGCCAACTTGATTTCCACATAATAACTGGTGATGTTCTTATTATTAGTACATTCTTTCTGTACCATACACATACTAACATAAATTGTATGTGATTACCAGCCAGAGGTCCATTGACTTGCTGCATGTTTCCCAGAATCTTCTGCCCCAGCAGATGAATCAGCCTGGTGACAACCTGAGGATACCTCCTCTTGATGGAGTTCAGAGCTCCCTCGGGTAGCTTGGCCATCTCGGAGTCCCTCACAGCATGGACCGTGGTGGCTCGGTTCATGTGGGTAAGGGCCTCAACCTGGACAACCCACATAACAGGTGCTGTACTACAATCTGTAGCGCCTAAAATGTGTTTCCCCAGAGCAGTATGTCTCTATATTGTGTCTTTTTTGGGGGGGGATTTTCTGAAACACTCACCACACCAATCAGATCCCCGCGGCCATACTCTCCAGCCAGCTCCTTCTTCCCATCATCCTTTGCAATGACGGAGCGCAGTCTGCCACTCAGGACGATGAAGGTGCTGTCTGACTTGTCTCCCTGTCTAAAAACGAAACAGAATCCAACATTACCCTCACACACTAGTATAATTTAACTTACTGGTTCCCTAGAGTAGATACCTGTAGACGGCACGGCCAGCCTCCACAGCCATCCAGTCCAGGGCAAAGTCAATCTGCCTGACAAATGGTGACACCCTCTTCACCACAGTGTGAGCTACGTTCAGCACCACCCTGGGCTCCTCACGCATTATCCTATAGTATAAAGTAAGTAGTATAAGTATAAAAACACAGATTTGTTCTGTGTGATGGGAAGAACCCACTTTTGTACCCTAAAGAAATATTTTGAGTGAGCTTGATCGTACTCGTAGAAGTGGGCCTTGGATATGGAGAGGAAGGTGCAGTCTCTCTGAGCTCGGACAGTGAAGATAAGGGGCTCCCCCGTGAGAACAGCCAGGTGGCCCACCATCTCCCCTGGGTGGGTGACAAACAGCAGGGTGTCCTCCTCGCGGTCTATCATGCGCTGGTAAACGTGCAGCAACCCAGAGATGACAAACGCTACACTCACATCCTGTAAGTAATGTGGAGAATACACACAAGTTTTATGCTCAGGCAAAGGGTGGCTTTAATTTCAGTTCAATATAATATGTACAGTAGAGCAATGTTACTTTATTAAATAAGGTTTCTCCTTAGCAAAAAATTCAAATGCATTGTTCTTCAAAGAGAAGACGGAAGAGGAAGGGAGCATGGGACCTCCTTAGTTTGTTAACAAGACAATTTGGTTTGGCCAAATGTTTCCGCCTTCATGTTGCCTCCCACTGAGGCAGGATTGCAACGCTTAAGTTGTGTTATCGTAGTGGAGACACTGTCACTCTGTAGATGCAAATCATTTCCATATGAGAATTTTAAAAATTTAATTCAGTAAGGACCACTTTTGTCATATGAAAACATCATTTGCAAATGCAGTATGTTATATTTGGTGGTATGGCTCTGTTCTGGGA